ACTGTGTGTGTGTGTGTGCGGTGTGTGTGTGTGTGTGTGTGTGTGTGTGTGTGTGAGAGTGTGCGTGTCTGTGTGTGTGTGTGTGCGTGTGTGTGTGTGTGTGCGTGTGTGTGTGTGTGCGTGTGTGTGTGTGTTTGTGGGTGCACAAACCCTGGGATCCGACGGCGCGAGAGACATCGGTCGAACTCCCGCCTGGAACCCTACTGGCCCCATCGCTCTGCGCAATTTGTATTCGAGCCGGATCGCTCGGCGAGGGCCCCTGGGCCCGAACAGGCTGCGAACAAACACGCCCGGCTCGAACTGTCCTCTGCGACGCCAGGACCTCCGGGGAAAGCAGGGCAAGGCTCGCGCGCCCAGGCAGACCGCCGTGGCCGGAGCGTGGCCCCCACGCACCCCCTCGTGGCCCCCAACTGGACTTCCGTGGTCCGAGTGTTCGGGAGCGGCCAAGAGGGGGGGGTCCAAGAGGGGGGGGTGCAAATCATGACCGGCGGCATGTGCGCGGCCCAGCGGGGGGGCCAGGGACGCAATGAAGTAAGAAGGGGCGCCATGACATCTGGGGAAACATCCTGGCCCCCGCCATGAGATCCCCCCCCCCCCTGGTCATCACCCCCCTCGTTTCCGCCCCCGACGAGTGTGGCCCCCCCTCGCCCCCCCCGGGCTTCTCGCCGGCCGCCTCGCCCACCCCCCCCTCGGCGCGCGACTCCCTCCTCTCCGCCGCGCCCCCCGCGCGGTGCTCTTCGGCGAACGAGAGCCCGCCGCTGCTCGACCGCAGGGCCTGCCTCTCGCCTTCCTCCTGCGGCCGCGCGGCCTCGCGACGGAGGCGCCGGCAGGAGGGGGCGGGGGGCACCAGTGAAGGGCCCCCAGGACACAGAAATGAATACACACAAATAAAAAGATCCCCTATATTTTCCTGTATTTTTGGGGTTTCTTGTCTTCCCCCCCCACTTGCCATATTTTCCCATATTTTCTGGGAAATCGAGGATTCATTGTGTCTGTGTTTCTTTTCCTCCTGAACCAGGTCTGGGGCAGGAGGGCCCAGAATCGGATCGACGAGTCGGATCGGGATGGCATGGGGTCGGCTCGGCGGGGATCGGCAGCCAGGTCGGGGGAGGTCGAAGCGGAAGACATCCACAGGCGAGTGGGCCCCCGTGGAGACATCGCAGCCCGGATCGGGATCCGACGTCGACTCGAACCGGAATCGGAAGCCATCGACATTTCAGCAACTCGACTCGGAGGAACCGAAACGAGCCCTGAAGGGGAGGGGGGGGGGAGCACCGAGGCTGGGGCAGATCTCGTGGCCCTGGCCGTGACAGCCCCTTCCCCCCTCCTGGAGGCCCCCGAGCTCCCCGGGCCTCCCATCGAGAACTGGCTGTCGCAGCTCTGCCCGCGTGCGCCCAGGCTCGGCGTGGTCGTCCACAGGGCATGGCCAGGGGCACGCCAGATCGGATCTGGCTCCCGCGTCGGCGGCGCCCCGAGCGGGGGCAGCGCCCCGACCGAGATCTCACACGCTTCTGTGATCCTCCAGCCGACGACCAGAAAGCGACGGCCCGACGGGTGATTATGCCGAGGGGCCGATGCAATGCAGAACAACAAGACAACACGGGTGCCTGGCAGATGAGCGCTGCCGCGCGGCGCGAGCATATCAAGGACGTTCTCGTTGTACACCTGGAGGCTCGGTGCGTCACTGGCTACTCAAGTTTGGCCCCAAGACGCGGGGGTGGTGCGGCATGCCAACGGAGGGGGAACGTGACCGGGCATGGCAAGGCACGCTGACTGTCTCATGCGCGTGCACCTCTGACCGAACACGCAAGCTCGCCTGCCCCTGGAGAGACCCTCCATGCCCTCCCCTGCATACTCTGCGCTGGTACCCGAACCCCGTCGGCGATCGAAGACGCCTCCCCTTGCCCTCGTCCCTCCTCGCCGCACTCCTTCTGCGGGGGAAGGATGGGAGGAAGGACTTGCCTTAGGTTGGGCCTGTCCCACTACAGGGGGATTTTGGGCGAACAAAAGAAAATACTCCAAAAATGCCCCGAAATAGCCAAAACATAATCAAAACATCGTCCCCAGACTATTCTCGGACCATTTCTGAATGTTCCTCCTGTAGACAGGGACAGGCCCGACTTCAGACTTGCCATTGCTCGGACGCCCTTCCCCCGTGCATGTGTCGGCGCTGGCCTCGCCGACCACGGGTGCACCCGTCCGAGCGATGCCAGGGGGAAGCGGGGTGGAGGGGTCGAGGGAAGGAGGGGGGCGCCACGGCTGAGCGCGGGCCGGAGCGACGGGGGAGCGGGCAGGGGAGACCGAGGGAGGGCAGGGCAAGGTGGGGGAAGGGGGACCCGCCGTCGCTCGGACGCCCACTCCTCGTGCGCTTTTTTTCGGCCGCGTGCCTTCCTCTGCAGGGCGATCCAAGATGCTCCCCTCGTTGCTCCCCGCCGAGAGGGAAAACGCGCACACGCCCGAGCGATGTGGGGGGATAGGGGGCGGGAGCGAGGCCCGACGCGGACCCGCTCTGCCTGGCGCTCTCCCCCCCCCCCCCCGCACCCGCACCGGACACCGACGACGCGCCCGCGGACCGCTCCCCCGCACTCCTTGCTCGCCTCGGCCTGGGCTGGAGACCGACCGCGCGCCAAGTGTGAAGCCCGGGTCGGGCGAAAGGGGGGGATAGCAAAGGGGGGGCTTGAGAATCAGCTCACGCAGCTGCTTTCCCCGGCGCCTCCCGGCGCCGGGAGGCGGCCATGTGTCGAGGAATGGGCCCCTCGGCGGGGCCGAAACCAGCTGCATGCAGCAAATTTCGTAACCCCCCCTTTCCCAATCCCCCCCTTTCTGAAGGGGAACTGGGACACACAAATAAATACACACAAATAAAAATATCCCCCATATTTTCCCATATTTCCTGGGTTTCTGTCTTCCCCCCCACTTCCCATATTTTCCCATATTTTCTGAGAATCGAGGATTAATTGTGTCTGTGTGTTTTTTCCTCTCCTGATTTTCGTCCGGCCCGAGAAGAGAAGCCTCCGTGCGCGCAGCGAAGACCGACGACTGCCGGCGGCTCTCTCGGACGCGGAGGCACCGCGCGGCGCCTGGGAGCTCGGGCGCCGACGCGCCGCTGGGACGGGTGCGTGGCGGCGGCCCCCAGGCCAAGACTTCTCGTGGGACCTCCTGGGCCACCACCACGAGAATTGACTTCGCGCCCCGCGCCCCGCGAACCGCGCTACGGCCAGACTTGATTGGACAGGCTGCGCGAGAGGACACAAGACCCTTCCAAGGGCCACACTGCAAGAGGAACGTGGGAGGCTCTCGGGGATGGGCAGACCTCCCTTTCGTAAAACGTGGCTTAGTGAAAACGACCTCGGGCCCAAACCTGGCGGGCGCACGCCTGGAAAATAACGGCCGCGGCGCCCTCTCGAGAACCGAAAACGGACAATTCACTAATCGACGTGTCACTGTTAGGAGGTCTGTCCACCCCCGAGAGGCATGGGTCGCGAGATGCAGGACACAAGGGGCTCTCTTGAGCTGGGAGGGCCGACCTCTGCCAAGCAGGGCCGACTGCATTGCTTGCGCCCTCGCGCCGCCCCCCCTTCGAGAAGGGCAGCCGCTCTGGCCCATGGGCCGCGCCGGGCACGCCGCGCGAGCGTCATCGCGCCCCCACGGGCGACCGGGTTATTGAAGGGGCCCTGGGACACACAAAGCAATACACACAAATAACATGCTTCCCCACATTTTCCCATTTTTTTTTTGTTGTCTTCCCGCCCACTTCCCATATTTTCCCATACTTTCTGGGGAATCGAGGATTATTTGTGTCTGTGTGTTTTTGTGTCTGTGTGGTTTTTCCTCTCCTGAGTTATGACTTCCGACCGGGCAACAGAAGCACTCCTGGCCCCAACCTCGGGGGGGGGGGGTGCGGTGGGCGGGCGTCTCGCCTCGACAGGGGTATAATAATAATGATACTACTACTACTACTACTACTACTACTACTACTACTACTACTACTACTACTACTACTACTACTACTACTACTACTACTACTACTAACTACTGCTACTACTACCACTACTACGATACGACTACGACTACGACTACTACTACTACTACTACTACTACTACTACTACTACTACTACTACTACTATACTACTACTACTACTACTACTACTACTACTACTACTACTACTACTACCACTACTACTACTACTACTACTACTACTACTACTAAAAAAATCACTACCTAACTAACAAAACTAACAAAACTACAGAAACCTAAATACTGAAAAAAAACTAGAAGAACTAGAAATCTAGCACTATGTAAAATGTACTATATAATAATATACTACTAACTAAAACAAAAAAACAGACTCTGAACACTAGTAACTACTCTAACTAACTACTACTAACTACTACTACTAGAACTAACTAACTATACTACTACTACTAACTAACTATACTCAAATATAAATGACTTAACTAAACTACTTAAAAATTAACTACTAAAGCTACTTAAAAAACTAAATAATACTAAATTACTACTTCACTACTCACTAAAAAACTACGCAATACCCAAAAGCACTTACCTTAACTACTATACTATACTAAACAACTAATAAAATAACACTACTACTAAACTCTCTAATCTACTAACTAAAACTTAACTTACTACTACTACTACTACTACTACTACTACTACTACTACTCCTACTACTGCTACTACTAATAATAATATTACGAATAATAATACTAATAATCTTAATAGTAATAATAATGATAATACTGATACTACTACTACTACTACTACTACTACTACTACTACTATTATTACTACTACTAATAATACTAATACTAATCATACGAAGCAGAAGAACAATAGTAATAGCGTCCGAAGAAACTGTCCCCCTTCCTCCCTCCTGTCCTGGATGGCCAGCTTTTTGGGGGCGGCCCCTGGAGGGCGGGAGGCGCGGCATCGACATTCCTGGTCCTACTGGGGGGGGGGGTGCGATGGGAGGGCGTCTCACCTCGATTGGGGTGCGTCGGAACAAAGTAGCCCCCCTCCTCCCTCCCCGTCCTGGACGGCCAGTTTCTTGCGGCGGCCCGTGGGGACGGGAGGCATGAAACCGCCGGAGCCCACCCGCCTGGCGCTGGCAGGAGCAATCGACGTCGAATCGCCAAGTCGAATCGGATCGGAACGTGCCTCGGATCGGCCCGCATCGGCACGGCACCGAAGCCGACTCGGATCGGCCGCGCCAACATCCGCGCAACTTCGCTGTGCAAGCATCGGGCTTCACCAGATCGCCCGAACATCGGGCTGCTCCGCATCGGGCTGCTCACGCCGACAACGGAGTCGGATCGGGCGCAATCGGCATCGGATCGAATCGGATCGATCGAATCCACACATATATATATATATATATTTATATGTATAGATGTGTATATATATATATATATATAGGCCCTGCCTTGGCCTGCGGGATGCCCAGATCTACATTGTGTTGGAACATTCAAAGAGGGCACTGCTTTGCAATTTTCGGCGCCTGGGCGCCATTCTTTCGGGCTCCAGGGCCATCAAATAACGATCCCGGACAAAAAAAAGTCACCCAAAATGGGTCGGGATCTCTGAACCCGTGTTGAAGACAATCAAGACGTGGGAGGTCTGAGGAGGGGTCCTCAGAGAAATGGATCCTGGACCCGTGGACTTCCCACGGGCCCGGCCTTTGATCTTGCTCGAGCCCCAGAAAGACCCGTGGAGGCCAGAACGTGCAACAAAAACATCAGGACCACCCCCTTCCCCTTGGAAGCATTCTCTCCACGGGAACCTTTTCTCCTTTCCCCACGGCCGATGTGGCCTCCATGGAGCTGGCGTATACCTCGAAGTCCCAGCCCTTCTGCCGCATCTCCTCCACCTCTAGAACACGAAAACAACGCATAACCATGAACTTTCGGATATCCGCGCGGACTGCCTGGATCAGCGCTAGACCTCCTCCCTGGCGCGCGGAGCGCGCCATGGGCGGCGAAGGAAGCGCCGCCAAGGAAGTCCAACGCCGATCTCAGCAACCGTGCGACAAGGGCGATGCAAGAGGCGCTGCCAGAGGGGGTCCAGCGCCGATCAAAGAAGTCCGCGTGGACAACCGGGAAACACATTTTTACGCAGACTTGTCCTCTTCGAACCTCGGAGAAGATCAAGTCCACCGTCCTTGAGGGGCAACGACAGGGGGGGGACTGGCTCAGGGGGGGATTGGCGGTGCATCGCCGATGGATCGCCGATGGGCCCCGGAGATGGCGAATCCGCCTGGTCCCGGGCGGGATGGGATTTCAGGCCCCCATCGGCGACGAGTGGGCGATCGGGGGTCGATGCATCTCCCCCTCGAGCCTGTCTGAGCACCGTGTAACCGATCCCCATCCCCAGCGGCATGGCCTGGGCCCCGCTGGCCGATTCACCCGCCTAGATGGGGATATAAGCCGTGCCCTTCGGAATTCGAGGGGTGTATCCCCAACCCGGTTGGTCATTTGGTGGGGGTCTCGAAGGGGATGGAGATGTGGATAGGGGATCGGATAAACGACACCGACCCTCGAGCCTGCCACACCCCCAGCGGTGCCCCTGGCCTGGGAATGACGCCCGCGGTGTCGGCCGTGCGCTGCTCGGGCGGGGGGCCGTCCATCGTGTGCGTCTTGCCGCCGCCCGTCTGCCCGTAGGCGAACACGGCCACGCGGTAGCCGTCGAGCGCGGACTGGACCAGGAGGGCGATCTCCTCGAAGACGTCGGCCTGCGACGCCTCCAGAGGAGGAAACAAAAAGCAGCATGCACAGAGGGGCCCAGGGAGAACGCATCGACACACATATTCAAGGATGGCCCCTATTTTGCAATACTTCCTGGATGTATTCTTCCGCTGCATGTCTTTCTGCGACCCTCCTAAACAAAAACCATTGATTTGTGTTTGTGCACTTGATTGTCCCTCATGAATGTAGCCACTGTGCTACCATCAGACATTCCAGACAGGGTGATGTTGCATTTTTTTGCTCGCGACATCGGATCTTGGGGTCCCCGTCTCTTCTGCTCGTGCTCTTCATCATGCGCTCGTCCCCTCCCCTGGGAGGGCGCAAACTATACACCTACACCAGCCTGGCCAGGCTCATCCTTCGCTCAGGATCGGTGTATACGCCCTCCCTGCCTTGGGCAGGAAAGTGCATAGCACCAGTCTTGAGCCCAAGGTCGGCTTGGCCAAGGTCGGTGCAGGTGTGTAGTTGGTGCCCTCCGGGGCAGGTGCGCCTTCTCTCTCTGAGTATCGTTTAACCGATCTCCATCCCCAGCGGCGTGGCCTGGGTCCCGCTGGCCGATTCACCCCTCTAGATGGGGATATAGGCCGCTCTCTTCGGGTTTCGAGGGGTGTATCCCTAACTGGGGTGGTCATTTGGTGCGGGTCTTGAAGGGGATGGAGATGGGGATGGGGATCGGTTAAACGATACCGACTCTCAATCCGTGTCCGGCGGGCGCGCGAGATAACGGAACACCGCAACGCAGATCTCCGGACCTGCAGTCGTCGTGTTGCCGGCTAGCAGAAGGCGCTAATACTGAAGGGGCTTCCCTGGCCACGGCGAGCCTCGGCCACGAATAGCTCCCCCGACCTACATCTAAGGAGCGGCCTGATAAAACCAGGGCCCCTGCTGAGCCCGAAGTGATCCTTACTTCAGCGTCTTGGCTGTAAGCAAAACTTTCGGAGGTCCGCATCGGCGCTGCACACCTTTGGCAGCACCTTCTGGCACCGCCTTGCCGTGCTTCGCGCGCCAGGGAGGGGGCTTTGGCGCCCGTGCAGGAACTCTGCGCGGAGCTCCGACAGCTTGTGTGTGCGCCTGTGCCCCTTGCTCGTCCTCGAGCCTCGGGCCCGAACACGTGGTCGAAGGCGAAGTCGTACGCGGCCGAGTGCTCCGACAGCCCCGTGCAGCTCTTCTGGGACTCCCCGTGCACGGTCAGCCCCGCGTCCTCCCGCACGTCCAGCCTCGCCAGCGCCTCCCCCTCGCTCGGCAGCGGAGGCCGCACGCGGCAGAAGACGCGGATGTTGCCCTTCAGCGTGAGGTACTCGTTGTGCAGCTGCCTCGCCTTCACGACGCCCTGCGCCCTCAGCTCGCCCCGCGCCGCGAGCGCCTCCTCCGCGGCCGCGGTGGCGGCCGAGAGGCTCCGCTCCCACTCGACGTTGGCCTCGCCCTCGTCCATCAGCGAGCGGTGCTTGGCCCTCAGCCGTGCAAGCTGCTGCCCGTCGCGCGCGAGCTCGTGGGCCTTGGCCTGGATGCCCGCGCGCATGCGGGCCCCCTTCCCCGCCTCGGCCTCGAGGTCCGCCCGCAGCGTCCTGAGCTCCTCTCGCCGACACTAGGGGGCCACATGCGAACCCTACCCCTACCCCCCACGATTTTTGAGGGGGAGGGTGGGGTTCACTTCGCTCGGGAGCTCCCGAGCACGTGGCCCCCTAGACACGCACGGAGTGGCCCCGGGCAGGAGTGGACCTCCGGTGCGCGGTGCTTCTGGGGGGAGGCGCAGCGGCGCAGGGTCCGAGCGCGCAGGCCAAAAGCTGGGCAAAACCTCTGTGGGCCTTTGGGCGCTGCTCCAGTTGTGGGGGGCGGTAATATTGTGTGTATATATATGTATATATATATATGTATATATGTATCTATGTATAGATATATAGATATGTGTATGTGTATGTGTATGTGTATATGTATATGTATATGTATATGTATATATATATATATATATATATATATATATGCGGGGGGGGGGCGAAGCAACGTGCACCTTCCGGGAGGCGTGAGGCGGCGAAGCAGCGTGCACCTTCCGTGAGGCACCTTCTGACATCTCGGGCCCCAGACGGACCGAAGAGGCCCGCACCAGAGGTCGGTCCGGCGAGAGGCAACTTTTCTCTACTTCGGGCGCCCGAAGCGGGTACGAACAAAAAAATACATAGTGGCCAGCAACAAATCTTGTCCCAATCCGACGGCGGCCGCTGCTGGGCGTGTTTTTTTTTGTCTTCAAAGCACAGCGTCCGCGGCGGCGCGGGCAACGAGCCCTGTTCAAGATGAGCAGGGACTGCCGTTGGGCATCGCACCTGCAACTTTCCGTACCCGCTTAGACTTGCGCGTGGGCGATCCTCCACCATGCGGGCCTGGCGCTCACGGAGCTCCTCCATCTTCCCCGCGTGGCTCTGGCGCGCCTGCTCCAGGCAGGCCCGGTGCCCCTCCGCCGCCCGCGCGCCCGCGGCGGCCCGCGCGCGCGCCGCCTCCACGGCGCGGCGCGCCTCCGCCAGCCTCTCGCCCAGCTCCCGGTGCCGCTCCTTCGGAGGCCTCCCTCCTCCTATCCTCCTCCTCCTCCTCCTATCCTCCTCCTATCCTCCTCCTCCTATCCTCCTCCTATCCTCCTCCTCCTCCTCCTCCTCCTCCTCCTCCTCCTCCTCCCAGGCGGGGTCGAAGGGTCGCACCGCATCAGCGGTGCCTCGGCGGCGCCGGCGACGCGTCGGCGGCGTCGGCGTGGAGGGCAGCGGGCTGCACGTCCAGCCGCACCTCGCCGATGCGTCGGCGGTGCGGCGCGACCCTCGGACCCCATGTCCTCGGGCCCCATCTGGGAGGCCCTGGTCCTTCTGGTCCCACAGCGCGTTGGCCCACGCGCCCTTCTCGCCTTTGGACGGCCGGCATGGGGTACGGAAAACATGGGTACGATTCAGGAGGGAAAGATACACACAGGCACAATGAATCCTCGCTTCTCCAGCAAGTATGGGAAAATATGGGAAGTGGGGGGGGAAGACAGAAACCCAGAAAATATGGAAAAATATGGGGAATCTTTTAATTGGGTGTATTTGTGTGTGTGTGTCCTGGGGTCCCTTCAACGATGCCCGACAACAAATGGTTTCCAGATCAGACAGCGGCCACTATCAGGCAGGCAGGCGGCCTTCTACTTCGAGTGGACAGCGTCCGCGGCGACGCCGACAGCGAGTCCTGTTCCAAGTGGACAGACAATGCTGTCGGGCTTCGTACCCAGGGAGACGTACGACTCGAGCTCGGGGGTCTTGGGTTGGCCTGACGGGGCCGTCAGGAAAATGACGAGACCAGTCTGGAATTGGAGCCGAGCCCCCGCTGCAAACACCCTACGAACACTGGACCGTCAAAGTCCAGGATGGGCCCGTCAACCAGCATGGGCACACCAGAGCTCTGGCGTACGCGAGTCTTACGTTTCCCCCACCATCCTCTCCCTCGGACGGGGTCTTATGATATGATTGGCTCAAGAAACGTTCCAATATGTCCAGAATGTCTGGCAGCCCTCGCCTCTGCAGCCCGTGTGGTAACATCGGGGCATCTGGGAAATCCTGGGAACCTTGGCACGTATCACTCTCATGACCTCTTGCTCCTCCAACTCTCGGCGGCGCGCACCATGGGGCAGGTGGAGGGGGGAAGGCTTCTTAGAAGGAGGGTGCTTCTTGGACGGCGCAAGCCCTTCATCTACAGGCAATGCCCGCGCTTTCCAAGCAGGGGTGCCTCCTGCGCGCGTGGCCGAACCTCCCTACCCAACCACTCCCCATGTTAGCGTCCTTTTCGACCTGGATCGATATGTGAGGGTCCCAGAGCCCGAAACCCAGCGAAAACGCCCCAAGTGGAAACAACAGCAACGCTCAGGTCTCAGTGTCTTACTTGTTGGGCAGGCGGCCTTCTGTCTCAACTGGACAACGTCTGCGGGGACACCAACGGCGAGTCGCTGTCAAACTGAACAAGAACTGCTGTCGGTCTTCGTACCTCCCGTTTCCATAACTAATCCATTTCGATCCAGACGAGCATCATTCTCATGACCTCTTTGCTCCTCCCGCTTCCTGAGAAGAAACAACGGCATACAACAACAACTTTTGGCGCTCCGCGCGGCTTCCTTGGATCCGCTCTGGACTCCCCTCACTGGCGCGCGGAGGCGCCGCCAGGGGGGCCCAGCGCGGACCCAAGAAATCCGCGCGGCTCGCCAAAAGTCTATGTGCACGCCGGCTTTTCCTCTTCGATCTGCCCCTCCCGCCTCCTGGCGCCCCTTTCGTCGACTACGCGCAGGAGCGACCCTGAGCAAGACAGACTCTGTTGTCGGGTCGGGCGAAAGGGGGGGATAGCAAAGGGGGGGTTTGAGAATCAGCTCGCGTATAGCTGATTTCCTGGCGCCTCCCGGCGCCGGAGGCGGCTATGTATCGAGGAATGGGCCCCTCGGTGAGGCCGAAACCAGCTGCATGCAGCAAATTTCGTAACCCCCCCTTTCCCAATCCCCCCCTTTCGCCCGGCCCGGTTTTGACCACCCTCGCTTCCAAGAGATACCAAGCGATGCCAAACTACGGCCTGTACTGGTCAGGCCGCTTGACGAGGAGGCGCGTGGCATAACTTGGTTCTTCCTGGAAGCGAAAGCGGGGTAGGTAATTCACGCTCTGAAGGACGGCGCCCCCGAAAGTCCCGACCCTTTCCCCGGGGCCGGTGGTGTCGTCCCGAGTCGTTTCCTGACGGTCCCCGGGGCCCGGCGAGGGCCCCACGGGGCCGAGCATAGCGAAACAGCCCCGTGCGGATCTCTGGTACGACGCGATCCTGTCTGGGAGGGTCACTCCAGCAGCATGCCCCTCTTGCGTATCACTGATGTCGACCGCACCCGTCGCCGCCTCCGGCCGCGGCCCTGCCGCCCCCCGGCGCGGCCGCCCCCCGCGCCGCCCCGAGCGGTGCCTCTCGGGTCGGGCGAAAGGGGGTGATAGCAAAGGGGGGGGTTGAGAATCAGCTCGCGTATAGCTGATTTTCCCGGCGCCTCCCGGCGCCGGAGGCGGCTATGCATCGAGGAATGGGCTCCTCGGTGGGGCCGAAACCAGCTGCAAGAAGCAAATTTCGTACCCCCCCCCTTTCCCTGACCTTCCAGGAGGGCTAAAAAATAGCACCCGACCTAAAAACCTATCCCAAAGCTATTCTACGTCTTGGTTTTAGGCTGTTTCGCCCAGCTTTTTAGGTTTTTAGGTCTCCAGTGCTAAAAAATAGCTCTCTGGAAGGTCAGGGTGCCCAATCCCCCCCTTTCGCCCGGCCCGAGCCTCGGCCGACCGGCCCCGGGGCGGCGCCGCCGCGCCGAGGTCGCCCCGCGAGGCGCTCGGCGCCCTGCCCCGCGCGGTGGCGGCGCCGCCGCCGCACGCCTCGTGGGCCGCTGGCCCAGACGGGCTCGCGTCGCAGGAAAACGAAAAGGGGGGATGGATGAGAGACTCCCCTGACCTTCCAGAGAGCTATTTTTTAGCACTGGAGACCTAAAAACCTAAAAAGCTGAGCGAAACAGCCTAAAACCAAGACGTAGAATAGCTTTGGGATAGGTTTTTAGGTCGGGTGCTATTTTTTAGCCCTCCTGGAAGGTCAGGGTCTTGGTGGTCTCCAAACCAGGTGGTGAGACACCCGGTGGTGACCCCGACTTCCCCCCAAAATGGTTCTGGGTCGCCACCGGGTTTGGGGACACGCGGTCGCCACGAGGTTCTGCGTGTCCTGGGCCAGCCCGCGCTCGAAAGCCATTACCCAAATCGCCCAAAACTCACCACCGGGTGTTCTCACCACCACGTTTGGGGACCACCAAGACTCCCTCCCTGATGTGCACTCAGCTCTGCGATCAACCCGCGGGACTCCGGAAGATTCGACCGTCTTCCAATTCGAGGGTCATCTGTGCCGGTCCCCGGGTCCAAGACGGGGCTTCAGAAGCTTCGGTGACAAAAGCAGCCGTCGCAACTTCTTCTCGGAGAAGGATCGGCGACGTAAGACTCGGGTCAGGGATGAATCCCCTCCAGCAGAACGTGGTTGAGTGAAAACGACCTCGGGCCCAAACCTGGCGGGCGCAAGCCTGGGAAATGACGGCCGCGGCGCCCCCTCGAGAACCGACAACGGACAATTCACTGATCGACGTGTCAGGGTGGGAGGTCTGTGCACCCCCGAAAAAAAAACAGGTCGGGGGGGTTTTCGCCATTGTCGGCCTCTGGGAGGGCCCTTGCCGGGCCTCAGGGCCGTCAAGGAACGACTCGGGATGAGGAACCGGGTGGGGGAAAAGGACCCCGCATCGAGAAGATCAAGACACATCGCGCGTCTGGAACTGTACACCTACCCCAAGATCCTGGCGTTGCATTTTTCCTGATCGGGCGATTTTGTGGTGCTTTGGGCCCCCGGGACCTCCCAGATCGATCCGGCTCGAAGAATGCCGGACAAGATAGGATCTAGCGCTGTTGTCGTGGTCCTTCGCCATGTTGCAACTTGTTCGCCACGTCGGATCTGAGGGTGCACCCGTCCTGGCCAAGCCGACCCTGATCCCAAACTCGGCGTGTACGCCCTCCTGCCTTGGGCACGACGGCATCGGTACCGATCCCGGGCCCAGGCCCAGCCTGGCCAAGATCGGTGCAGGTGTAACGAGGGATCCCATAAAAGACGTGCACGCCCAGCCATGTACTCCAGATTTCGTAATAAAGGGAGGGGGGTCTCATTTCGGGGGGGGGTCTCTTCCAGGCTATCTTGGAGGGCCTGGGGGGGTCTGGGGACGATGTTTTGGAGGGTTCTCCCACGAGGGGGGGTTTGAAATGGCTTGTCTTGGAGGGTCCAGACCCCCTCCCTTTTATTACGAAATCTGGAGTACGCGAACACAGCACTCCCAGTCCCGCGGGACCAGCCTCGTGATACGAACGGTCGCGCAGTGCGCGCTGCCGAAATCAGTGTGGGTCCATGTGCGTCTGCGTGCTCCCTGCGCTGCTGCCCTCTGGTCTCCGGGGCGCGCCGGCGGAGAGGGCGGGGGAGGAGGAGGGGGAGGAGGGGAAGCTAGGTGCGCTCGCGTCATATCTCACGTCCAACCCCTCCCTCCCATCCCTTACCATGGCGTAGATACCCTCTCTATCCGCACCGTCAGATGTCGAGCAGGGCAGTGTGCGCGAGAGGGCACGCGATGCATGGTAGAGCACGGCGTGGCATGGCGCAGAAGAGCGCGGCAGAGCGTAGCATGCCATATCATGTGCGTGGCATTGCGCAGTGAAGCATTGCATCACAAAACGTTGCGACGCAGAGCAAAAAGTCGCACAGCGGCGCAAAAACAACACCGCACAGCATGTCATGGCATGGCGCCGGGCTCGTTGGAGGGTAAGTGGATCGACTTCGAGAGATCTGGGCCGGTCTGGAACCGTGGCCC